CAAAGAGAGGAGGTGGTGTTGGTTATGACTTGGGGCTGGGTTTTTGACCTTGAGCCCGGTTCTGACCCTGTGTTTGCCCTCTAGGGTTCGGATTTGTCACGTTGAGAGTGAAGACATCGTGGAGAAAGTGTGTGAAATTCATTTCCATGAAATCAACAACAAAATGGTGAGCTGGGGTTGGACAGGGTGGGGGTGCAGAGAGAGACTTTGGCTCCTAGCTGAGCCAGCCAGGGGCGCTCAGAGGCTCTGGAGGCAGGCAGAGGGGCTCAGTCAGTGGGGTTGAATCAGTCCCCCACACCCTGAAAATCTGGATAGCAAGGCAGTGTCCTGTGGTGGTTAAAAAGCCTGGGTTGGGGGTAGGGGGGGGGAGCAAAAAATAAAAAAGCAGGGATTGAAATCCTCACTCCACTACTTGCTAGTCTAGTCATTGGGCAGATGATTTTCGCTCTCTGAGCCTCAATTTCCTCATCTGTAAAATGGGAGTGACAATAGTACCTTCATGATTGGGTTGGTGTAAGTAAGCATTCATGAACTATTGCCTGCAAGCTGTTTTCACAGTGCCTAGCACAGAGTGAGCGCTCTGTTCATGGTAACTGACATTAACGATAAAGAGGCCGCCAGGGAACCGGAAGGCGGGTGACCAGAGGACTGTAGGAGGAACTGACCGCCACGTCTCATTGCAGGTGGAGTGTAAGAAAGCTCAGCCAAAAGAGGTGATGTCGCCGACCGGCTCGGCCCGGGGGAGGTCTCGAGTCATGCCCTATGGAATGGACGCCTTCATGCTGGGCATCGGCATGCTGGGTATGTGCCAGGGCTCCCAGGGCTGCTGGAGTGTGGTATCGCCTCTGCCGTCTGCCCTCCTCGCTTGAGTCGTTGGGTGGGAGTGGGGACCGGGGACCTCAGGTCTGGCAGGCCTGCCAAAGGTGGGTAGTTTGTTGTGGGGCACTGCCCTCTGGTGGTGGCCAAAAGAATGGTCCAGCTGCTCTTCACTTGGTCTTGTCCATTCATCCATCCAGTAAATAGGTATTGAGCAACTATAAACGCCAGGCACTGTGCCAAGAAGCACAACAGTGCCTATGCTTGGACCTTTATGTTTAAATGGAAAACAAACCAGCAATAACATAAATACATGGCTTCAGGATGGAGAAGTGTAGGGTGCCAAGGGAGCATGGGTCATAGGGCACTTAACGAAGACTTGAAGAAGCCAGAAAAGAAGATACATTTCAGCTGAGTCTGCAGATTAAGTAGGAGCTGGGGGAAAGGGAAGGGAAAAGTGTTCCAGGCAGAGGGAACAGCACTTACAAAAACCACAGGCCTTTGGGAAGGGAAAGAAGGCTGCTGCTTGTTCATTCAACTAATATTGATTGAGCAGCTTCTAACAGGCAGCACCTGCCCTCATGGGGTTTCCCATCAAGTGGGAGACAGGAGTGAATTGGCAGTGTCACCACAGAGGGACTGGAAGCAGTGGGAGCCCAAAGAGAAGCTAAACCCACCTGGGAGTCAGGGAGGCCCCCTGGAGGAGGTGAGGGCTGCCATGAGCCTCAGAAGTTGAGCAGGATCAGCAACACCTGGGGCCCGAGATTGAGGGTGGAAAATCCGAGCTGGGCCCCCAGGAAGCTCACAGGCTCCCTGGAGAGACAGGATGTGCACACACAGAAAGGTCTTTATGCTGGGGAGGGGGGAGGGGTGCGCTGGGAATTCCAAGGAGGGGGATATAATGTGGCTAGAAGGCCAGGTTTGGGGTCACAGATGAGGTGGGTGAGGACGGCACCCTCCAATTGGCGCATGGTCTTCTCGAAGTTTTGGGTGGTTTTTTCTCTTTACTTTTTTTTTTTTTTTTTAATATATTTTATTGATTCTTCACAGAGAGGAAGGGAGAGAGATAGAGAGCTAGAAACATCGATGAGAGAAACATCGATCAGCTGCCTCCTGCACATCTCCCACTGGGGATGTGCCCACAACCCAGGTACATGCCCTTGACCAGAATCGAACCTGGGACCCCTCAGTCCGCAGGCCGACGCTCTATCCACTGAGCCAAACCGGCTTCGGCTCTCTTTACTTTTTTTAAAAAAATATATTTTATTGATTTTTTACAGAGAGGAAGGGAGAGGGATAGAGAGTTAGAAACATCGATGA